CCCAACTGTGACAGAAGGACACAGAAACGTGTTTGGTGTGGGCTACCATGATTCTAGACACATTTGAAAATCCAACTTTGTATAACATGAGTATCTATCCTAAGTCCTTTTTAATTTCATTTTTAGAAATCAAATATTTAGGTTGCATCTATTATTATCTAATTAAAACTTGTTGTACCAAAACATGTGTTCCATCCTCATTTTTAGACTCGTAAATATTACACAGGTTCTCACTGAAGACAAAAAGATCATTTTAAATCTAGATCAGCAGTAACATTTTTAACCAAAGAAGGAGGGGTGTTTCATTTGGCTACTTTTCCAAGGCCTGTGGGGAGAGCTCCACAGGTTTTCCTCATCACTCCAGATGCACTGCAGAGAGACCCTGGCTGGATTCCAGATGTGCTGCAGAGAGAGAGCGAGCCCCAGCTGGACTCCAGATGTGCTACAGAGAGACCCTGGTTGGACTCCAGATGTGCTGCAAAGAGAGGGAGCCCCTTCTGGACTCCAGATGTGCTACAGAGAGAGCGAGCCCTGGCTGGACTCCAGATGTGCTACAGAGAGAGCCCCTGGCTGGACTCCAGATGGGCTGCAGAGAGAGGGAGCCCCTTCTGGACTCCAGATGTGCAGCAGAGAGAGAGCCCCAGGCTGGACTCCAGACGTGCTGCAGAGAAAGAGAGCCCCAGCTGGACTCCAGATGTGCTGCAGAGAGAGTGAGCCCCTGGCTGGACTCCAGATGTGCTGCAGAGTGAGTGAGTCCTGGCTGGACTCCAGGTGTGCTGCAGAGAGAGCCCCAGCTGGACTCCAGATGTGGAGAGCGAGCGAGCCCCGGCTGGACTTCAGATATGCTACAGAGGGTGAGCCCTGGGATGAGAAGGAAGATCCAGGCTTACAGAGCCCCCTTGCATCCAGCCTGGGCTCCTGCCTGGCACAGAGCCTGCATACTCTGTGCCCCTGGGAGCGAGGGCTTCTAGTGAGTACTACCCCTGCTCTAGCATCTTCAGTTTGAGATGGAGAACCTTGAGTCATGGGACCAGCCAGAGAGACACCGTTTACAAGTTTGCCCAGCCCTTCGGACCCACTGCTCTCCATTTAGGAGCCGGCTGTGGGGAGGGTCAGGTGGTAAGAGGGACTCCTGATTCCACGTTGCCATGGCCAGCTCTCCGGTAAACCAGCTGAAGACAGAGCTGCGCCCCTCCCTGGTGGCTTGCCTGTTACTCAGGGCCTTCCCCGCCCCGAGGTCCTCCCCAAGCCTGGTGCTCCTCGAAGTCCACAGAAACCCACCTCCCATGCCCAGAGGCAGTGGGCCCTTGGGGTTTCACAGACCCCGGCAAGGCCCACACCTCCCACACGTCCTCATGGGGCTGGAGACTCAGCACCCGCCTCCCCCCGGAGACTGCCACACTCTGCACACGTGTTCTGGCCAAACCTACAAAGTGACTCCTCGGAGCCTGCCCCATTTCCCAAGCACAGCGTGTGTCCCCCGTGGGTCGCCCATCCCCGCTGGGTTTTCCGAGGTCCCCAGCCATCCCGGCTGCACATCTGCTGCGGATCTGCGTGGCTTCCTTGGCACGCGACCACGGAGACCCAGGACAACACACAGCTCAGCAGCCCCAGACACCCCGTCTGAGCCGGCCCGTGTCTGAGGACAGTTCTGTCCTGCTGGCTCTGGGCTGCCTCCCCTTCCTCCCGTCCTCCAGGCGGGGAGCTCATGGCACCATCTGCTGGGCGTCTCCCAGGTGCTGAAAACAAGCAGGGGCTCTGTCCCCCGTGCTCCCCGTGGCTGTGGACAAGAAAGCGCCCCAGAGCCCAGGACCGGGCACAGATAGGACAGCTTGAGGCGGAAGCACGGGCCCCCAGAAGAACCAAAACAAGAAGACCGTGAGTGCTGTGAGGCATGGCCATAGTCTGCTGGCAAATGTGCAACTGGGACCGAATGCAGAGAAGAGAGAAAACAGGGCAGAAGCACGGAAAGCAAAAACTCCAGACTGCACGAAGACTGAGGAATGCTGCCCTCCCACAGACTCAAGAAGCTCGTGAACTCCACGCTGCTTAAGAAGAATACACAGAGACAAGATGATAAAACCGCTGAAGACCAAAGCCGCAGAGCAAAGGTTAAAAGTCGGGAAAACGTGGGACCTGGCGCAGCCCTGCCAGCCAGGAAGCGTCGGGCACCAGGCCCGCCTCGCCCACCACTGCTGGGGCATCCGACCATGGAGCGTTCACGAGCCGGAAGAGCTGGTGGATTTTGCTTGCTGGGCTTCTACCTTTCTGTTCTTCCAAGTCCTCTTCTGAGCAGTGTCTGCAGGGCGCCGGGCCCAGCAGCGTTGAGAAGCTCGCCTGCAGGACAGGAATTCCGCCCCGGGATCTGGTATAGACTTTGAAGTAGGTGCCGGAAGGAGTTAAGACTTTGGGGCTGCTGGGATGGAATGAATGTATTTTGCATTCAAGAAGGACATGAATTTTGGGCAAGGAAGCAGGATGCTGTGGTCTGAATTGTGTCCTTCAAATTCCAGAGGTTGAGGCCTGTCCGCTCTAGGCACTCTTAAGACGATCATACACTCGGGGCTTGTAAGAGAGGCTCATGTCTCAGTCCAGAGCCTGGGAGGCCGACATCCAGGTGCCGGCACATGCAGTGTCTGGTGAGAGCCTGCTTCCTGGTTCCCACACGGCCCTCTCGCCTCGTGCTCATGTGCAGGAAGGGACAAGGGAGCTTCCCGGGCTCTCTTCCATGAGGGCACTCATCCCAGGCATGACCTATCACTCCCCAGAGACCCCTCACCTCCTTACACCATCACAGTGGGTGGATCAGATTTCAACATACGAATTTTGGAGGGACACCAACATTCAGCACACAGCCAAGCCCTGACGCCCAGCGTGACTGTAGACAAGGGCTTCGCGGAAGCAGTGAGGCTAAATGAAGTTGCTGAGATGCGGTCCTCTTTCAGGCAGATGTGTCCTTCCAGAAAGAGACACCAAAGAGCCCGTGCTCCATCGCCCTGTCGTGGGAGGACACATGAAGAAGGCGGCCATCTGGAACCAAACTGTCCAACCCTCCCAGCCTCCGGAGCTCAGCCGCTGCTCCGACCCCGCCGATGGTACTTGGTTACGGCCGCCCAAGCAGACTCAAGAGACTCCAAGTCCTGCTGACAGGACAAGCAGACAAAAGACTGAGTCAAGAGCCAACTGCGTGAACAAGACACCTGACAGACCTGATCTCAAGGATGTGTTGTGAGCTCTGTGTCCGACCGGAGACACACACAAGTAGTTGTGAACACAGCGGACACCGGCGAGTCGACCAGTTCCAAGACAGCGAAATTACCCTGGCTGTTCTCAGACCGCAGTGACATTCAGCGAGAGACTCATAAGAAAAAATAACTAGGAAATCCCATCTTTCAAAAGTAAGCCACAATTTCTAAGTAGCCCATGGTACAACAGAAGAAGAAGAAGAAATGAGAATGGGAATTAGAGATTATAGGAAACTGGGAGATAACTGAAAACACATCAAGATACGTAGTTGCAACTCAAGCAGTTCTAGAGGACAATCGGGTGTTGGTGCATCAGGAAAGGAAACAAGGTGGAATCCACGACTGAAGCACCCGCCTCCTGGGGGACGGTAACCTCAACCCCTCCCTCACGTCGATGGCAGGGACCACGGCCGGGTGGAGGCCAATCTACAAACCAAGGATAAGATAATAAGTGCATACACGAGACGACAGAACATCTCACACATCTTGGAAGAGGAGAAGAGTCCTTAAACAGGACACAGTAAGTATTACCCATAAAGAAAAACAATGTCAAATTGGACAAAATAAAACTTAAGAACTTCTGTTTATCAAAACACTTTAAAGCGAGGAAAGGACAAGCCAGAGTTGATGCTCACAGAGTCGACGCTCACAGGACTCCTTGCAGGAAGCCCTCAAGGGCCCTGCAGACCTGGTGAGACACAGACAACCGCCCACAACCATCGGCGCCAGGACGGGCTAGAGGCAAACCGCAGACGACAGTGGGGGCCGAGGGTGTGCGGTGCCGGGCCTCTCACGGCCACGAGAAGGGCCGTCAGAAGCACGATCTGGCCGTCCCGAGTGAAGCTGAGCTCCGGGCGCGCACATACATACGGGCACCCATCGTGGCAGCCAGACACGGGAAACAGCCCAGCCCTACCCCCGTGGGGGAGGAAGACGCGAGCTGTGGCACGCCAGCTGGCGGGATACGACACGCGACCTGCGGGCGGGTGTCCTACATGTCCCGAGAGCTGGAGGAGGCAGACACGAAGGATGCTGGCCTGCACGGCTGTCACACCGTCCCGCCATGAGCAGGTGGCTGAACAGCAGCAGCTTCTATCTCAGGGTCTGCAGGCTGGACGCCAACGTCAAGGCTCCGGTGCACCTGGTGTCTGGAGAGAGCATCTCCCAGTTCCCGGACAGCCACCCTCTGCTGGGTCCTCCCGTGGGGGCAGGGGCAGGATGCCCTCCGGACTCCCTCCTCCAAAGGCACGAGTCTCCTCACAGGGGCTCCCCTTCACGGCCTAACCACCTCCCCAAAGCCCCGCCTTCTCATAGCGTCATCTTGGGAGGTCGCTTCCGACCTAGGAGCTTTGGGAGGACACAAACCGTCCATACAGAACTTATGACTCCACTCCACAATGTTCAAAACCAGGCAAAAGTGATCTGTGGTGTCAGAAGTTAGGCATTACCTACCCTTGGGAGGTACCGAGGGGAAGGGGCACTTGGAGGCTCCCGGCAGGCTCAAGTGTCTCAGCCTGAGCGCTTGGTACACGGACGTCCGCTCTGAAATTTTGCCCATCTACAGGCTCATGACTTACACAGTTTGGGCTGTAGATCTTGTATTTCAATAAAAAGTTAACTAAAAATCCAAACAATACAAAAAACTGTGGACCTGTCCCTCCAGGCATGGAAGTTTCTATCAGAGGAGAAAGGTTCCGAAGCAACGCATATAGCGTGACCCTATGCTTGTAAACAGAGCGTGCGCACAGCAATGGGTTACACACCAACATCATTTATTAAAAAATATTTATTGTGCATGTGCGATGTGCCGACACAGAACGGATCTGGAAGACATCTCTACGACTGTACTACCCATGCAGAGTCCCGTCACATGCACGGCCAGCTCCGGGGCCCGCACGGCCTGGGACAGCCCCATGTCCTGCATGGTGGGGGGGGGGGGGCAGGGCAGCAAGGACACCACGACACACGATGCATGAACAGTCACTTTCACAGGACGACAAGGGTGATGTGTGTGTGTCCTACGAGTTTAGAACTAGACCTAGCTAGGGACACTGTGCCACCAAGTCACCCACAAGCCAGCACTGTGGACACCACTGGTGGACACCTGCAAACACAGCCTACTTCTAGAGGACGGACACAGGCAGTGACGGTGGTGAGGGACTTCCCGCCGAGCCCGACGCGGTCGGCAGATGACTCTGACGACGGGACCAAGCCCGCAGAGGCGGGTGCTGTCGCCCGCCAGGCAGCGAGGCGGGGGCTCCTGTCCCAGGGCGTCTTCATCGCTCAGGCTCCTTCCTGCAGCGTCAGCTCCCCGCTCCCCACAGAGCGTCAGCTGTCATCTCCAGATGGGAAAGACCTTCTCTCCGCCCTGGCAGAGACAACAAAAACAAAGCCATCAAATCAGCAACCACTGCAGGATGATTAACGTGCAGTATTTCCTGATTAACTGAATGTCGTACCAAAGAACAACATTTAGGTGCAGAAATTTTTCTAAATACACATTAAAACTTTTAACATGAAATTAGCATAAACAAAGTATAAAAGAGGTATTAAAACATACAGACAAACCATCTGATTTTTTCTGCTCTACACTAACCCCTGAGTGTCCCCGGCTCAGCAGTCTCTGAGAGACACCAAGCCCCAGGCCCCAGCTGGCCACAGCCTCACGGTGGGCAGGATGGCTCCACCACCCTCAAACCACCGCCGTGGTCAGAAGATGACCCGCACCACACCCCTACGCCACATGCCACCGGCCCCGCGTCCGCCCCCAGCCTCCCCAGCTCTCCACTGGGGCCTCCTGGCCACAGGAAGGGTGGACCTTGGCCGGGCCGGGCTCTGCCGTCACAGACTCACCCTCTTGCCCTCTATTTCCTGTTCTGCACATAACAGCATCCTCTTCCCATCAGGAGGATCAGAAAAATAATGCAGCGGACAAGGCCGTGTCTTGGCTGGTCAAGGGCTGCCACCATGATCACCCCAGACCCGTCTCCCAAGACCAGCACCCCCGCCCCTGACTTTACAGCTAAGTATCTCACTTTCTGTGACGTGGGGTCTTGCGTGGAAGTGACAGACCAGCTCAGCGCCACGGACATGTGCCTCCTCCACACCGGGTTTCTCTGCAACACAACCGAGCCCGTGACCACGTCCCCCGGGACGACGGAGACAGGCTCGTCCATCATGAAGAGCACCTGCTTCCAGTGGGTGGTTCTGCAAGGCATGGGGCAGGGGTCACCGCGCTGGAGCCCGACCCCCCAGGCTTCCCCGCGGGACGGACGCACCCCAGCCCGACAACCCTGATGGCCTCTGTGGGGGCAGGGACTGAGTTACTACGACCCAGGGCAGCGGCAGCCCCTGGACACGGCACAGACTCCGGGCGGGGGAGGGCAGCTGGCACTGGTGGCTCAGAGCACACACGGCCGGGCCCAGGCCCCTCACTCCTTGCCACAGCCCCACACCTCCCCAAAGTCCCCTGCTTGGTCTCTGAGCTGCCAGTGCTGGAGTCCCTGTTTCTGCAGCCCAACAAGTCATCGTTCCCGGGCAAGTCCGGTGGAAGGTGAGGGGACAGCCGTAACATCGGGGAGACGCAGTCACACTCCCGAGCTCCTCAGGTCTTACCAGCTCTGACAGCTTGGCACGACCACCCACTGCCGCCTCTGCCCCACACCTGGCATGCGGCCCACGGTCCCCCTCACCAGCCCACCCTCCCTCCTGCCTCAACCACTGGGAGGGTCTCTCTCTGCCCTCAAAGAGCGCCTGTCCCGTGTCTGCACCCTGCGCGCCTACACCACCTGTGTGTGGACGCACCGGGGGAAGACCACTGGGCACACGACCGTCCCCTGCGTGTCTGCCACGGTCCTACCCTCACCTCGCATCTGTGCTCGTGGGACCTGGAAGGAAAGCTGGCCAGAGCCCCAGCCCCGCCTCCTCCACAGGACACTCAGGGTGCACAGTCCCTCGCCTCTGCCCCCACTTTCCAGAAGGGCATCTGGGGTCCTCCTGGGCCCACTGCCATAGCCGGCATCTAACCAGGTGTTGCCGCAACCCTCCCTGGTCCAGACCAGTTACCGAACAGGACAACAAAGGCCCCAGAGGGAGGCAGCATCCCCACGGGGGCTGCTGTCAGCCACTGAAGCAGACGTCAGCTTCCCAATGTGTCGAGCAAGTGAGCGGCATCACGTCACTCCGTGAAAAACTGTCTCAAGGGGCACCTGGGGGACTCAGTCCGCGAAGCCTCTGCCTTCGGCCCAGGTCACGATCCCACGGTCCTGGGATCGAGTCCCACATCGGGCTCCCTGGCTCAGCGGGGAGCCTGCTCCTCCCTCTGGCTGCCGCTCCCCCTGCTTGTGCTCTAACAAGTAAATAAGCAAAATCTTGTTTAAAGAAATTTGTCTCAAGCACTGACCTTCTCCCAGAAAGTCGGAGTGGAAAGCCCCTAGAGCTCTATGAGACCACGGGACGCTAACGCAGCTTCCAGGGTCAAGACCAAGTCTGCTCCTCCTAGCCACGCAGGGGTCAGAGGGCAGCCCAGGGGGAGCCCAGCGCGGGGGCGGGTGGGACCTGGTCCGGACTTGCCCACCCAGGGCCCGCAGAGCCTGCTCCGCGGCCCAGGACCGCGAGGTCTCGGCCAGAGGGCTGACCACCCGAAGGCAGGCCAGCTGCGTCAGCTCCTCCCAGGCTGCTGGCGGGGCCCCCGCGGGAGACGCACACTCACGGGTGGAAGGGGCCTGTACTCAACACCAGCTGGGGCTCGTCCTCCTCCAGACTCTGAAACCGCACGCTGAACCAGGCCGTGAACCCGTGCAGCGCGCCGGCTTTCCTGATCTCGAAGTGCAGCTCGCCTTTCATCGTCTGTGCAAGCGGACGGTAAGAAGGAGGCACGGGTTCTGTAAGCACAGGACTGGGCCACGAGGGTCCCCCCGAGCAAGAACTAGCAACTGTCCGCCGGGGCCCGCCTCACAGATCCCACCGCCCCCTGCACTGCCCTCAGAACCATCTAGCTCAGCAACGGCCGACGGGACTCGCCGGTTTAGCTGAACACCTCCAACACCACGTAAAACTTCCTCCTCCTGAAACTACTAAAACTGGCATCAGAAATCCAAATGCTGCAGATAATGAGAAAAGGTTTCAAGCAATTTGGGCCTCATCTGCCCAGACGTGAGTGGAACCGAATTTCCTCCCAATTCTTTGCACAAATGAAGTTCCAGGCCAGGTTTCTATTCTGCAAAACTACGTGCAGAGTCAAGAGTTCAGTCTCCACATTGTTCTGCCCGTCGGAACCCCGCAGGGGCTGCCCAGGACCCCCACACTCGCTCGCTGCTCCTGCACCTCCCCGCACACTGTAAAACGAGGTCCCGCGGCCACATGTGCCGCCTCGTGGCAACAGGGGAAGTAAAAGTAGGACTTAAGAATTCTGTCATCAACGGTAGTGAAAACAATTTTAATTCAGTCCTTGAAGAAACCGGATATGATGTATTAGAATCCAAAGACGCTGAAAATATTAAACATAAATCTGAAAAGAACGGATGATGTTGAAGAGGCCAGCGGTAAAGAAAAGAACTTAAAAATATAAAATACAAAATCAAACATAAAAAAGCAAAGACTGGGAAAATCAAAGCAAGGTTCATGATGTTCGCAGAGAAGTCTCGGTGTGCGTGCACCGCTGACATGAGAGGGAAGCGCGCGTCTAGTCTCACCTCCAGGTCCGCGATCTGCACAGTCCTCATGTCCAGCTGCAATATCGTGCACGGCTCCGAGAGACAGTCTTCTGGTTTCAAAATGTGGTTATACTTGGGCTTCGAAAAAAACTCCTTAATTGCTAAAGATCTAGGGAAAAAGTCAAAGGCATTGCTCAGAGACGCAGACCAACATCTCGGGCTCTGACACACACGCACGACCACAGCACTCGCTGCTTCTCTCCAGCGTTCGCAGGAATTCCAAGCCACGGCCTGCGGCACAAGGACACGGAGACCGGCTGGAGGTCCCCACAGGCGGCCTGGCGAGACCACAGTGCAAGCACCTCCCACCTCCACCCTCTTCGCAGGGCCTGAGCTCCTGGAAACCAACCGTTCCCACGTAGGCAGTGCCCAGACCCATCCCACCGCCCTCCTCCTGACACGTGGACAGAGTCCGTGGGAGCCCAGCGCGGCTCACTCGCCTGACCCAACCTCATCACGTGGACACGTCATCTCACAGCACAAGAAGGGCGAGTACAGGACAGTAAGATATTCACAGTAAATAAGACACTCCTGTTCTAGGTGACCCTCTATGACCTAAATCAGCCCGACTCTCAGGAGGGGTCCCCGCACACAGGGGCTGAGCCCCCACACCGTCCCTCCTTGTCACTGCGCCTAACCCCACTGCGGAACATGGTGCTTGCCCAGTCGCCACTTACCACGGGAAATGGTTCAAAATTTAAGCACAGCACTAACTTCTAAAATAACAATTAAAGTCAACATTTTAATGATGCCACGATATGGCCAAGTTTTTAAAAATATTTTTCTGATAAAAATAATTATGCACATATAAAGAATTGGGAAAATACAGAAAAGTCCAAAGAAAAAACTTGAGTCTCCCATGCCCTTGCCTCGGCACTCTGCTACAGTCATTTTCTCCCCTGGAGCTTGACTTACATGTTTTATGCAAGCAGAAGCCATTCTGCATATGTGGTCTGTGTCCTCCCAGTGTCACCATCTCTTAATCCATCGGACGGATGTACAGCAATCCGGCCTCACCCTACGGAACCGTCTGTTCCCCGTGCTGTGTGTTCGGGAGCACGCCGTGGCCCCGGAACCGACGGGGAAGGTGGTGGATGCCCCCCGTACCCACAGCTCTGGGCACACGGGCTTGTCTCCCCCATCTCACCTACAGCTCAGACAGCACCAACTGCCGGTTTTGTTTTTTTTTTTTTTAAAGATTTTATTTATTTGAGAGAGAGACAGTGAGAGAGAGCATGAGCGAGGAGAAGGTCAGAGGGAGAAGCAGACTCCCCATGGAGCTGGGAGCCCGATGTGGGACTCGATCCCGGGACCCCGGGATCATGACCTGAGCCGAAGGCAGTTGTCCAACCAACTGAGCCACCCAGGCGTCCCCCAACTGCCATTTTAATGTGATCTTTGTCCATCCGGTTGGCAAAAATGTCATTTAATTTGCATTTCAATCACTAATGATGCTGGGATTTCTTTCAAATATTTACTGGTGACTTTATTTAGTTTTTGTGACTTGCTTAATTCCTGTGACTGGGCTATAATTTCACTGGACACTCAGCTTTTCCTAACTGACTCTAGGGTCTGCCAGCGGGCACCTCCCTCCAAGCCGCGGCTGCCTTTTAAACCGTACTCAGCTGCTGACACGCGGAGGCTGTCCGTTTGTACAGACTCAAGTCCAGCGGTGCTTTCCTTCTTTCTGTTCACTTTCTTTCCATCGAAAACCTGACACATGGGCCCCCACCGATTCCGAGAGTTGATGCAGATGCTTTAACACAAAACTCTTAAATCCATGTGAAATTAAATTTCAGCACACAGTATGAGAGAAGGAAAGAAGTCTCAAGGGGCTCATCCGTGGCCCAGAACACTCTGCCGCCTGTGCCCCTCACGCCCCATGTCTCCCACGCACACTGCACGGGCCCGTCCCGTGCCGCTGCTCTGTCCTTTCCTGTCTCAGGACCACTCTGCCCTCATCACTGGGCCCCCAGCTTAGACCTCACACCTGGCCCTAGATGAACGACGGGCCGGCTCTGCAGGGGACCTCTCCTCCCCACCCCCTTTGGGGTCTGGGTTGAGAGTGCAGTGGTCCAACATGTTAACTGGGGAAGGCACCTTCCCTTGGCATTATTGTCTCTTTTGCTGAGTTGCTTAATAAAGGCCAAAAGGGCCCAGAGCCTCCCTTCTTCTGCACCCAGCAGACGTCCATGCTCACCGGGCCCTCACGGCATACATGAGACGTCCTGCAGTACTGAGCAGTGGGGCCCCTACTTCCCAAAGCTGACGCTGGCACCCCCAGACAACCATGGCACGCCAGCTCTGTCACCATCTTCTTATGAGCAGCAACAGCGAGAACAGGAAGGCCTCATCAGCCAATCATTTCAAGATTACAACCGAGTTCAGCGGTACAAGTGCGTACCACTTGTACAAGCACTCTGGGGCGTTGCTTCCTCTGCAAACTGCCAGGGAGGACCTCACAAATAACCTTTTCTGATCCTTTAAAACCGAACAGATCTTAGTAGGAACACATATTTGTGTGTTAACAGACCATGTACCGATAAAGGCCTCATCTGTAACCGTGACCACATTTTCCCACTATATTTGAGCCTTGCTAACTCCCATCACATCTGCTACCAGCGTAAAGGCTCGAGGGTCAGCCTGCCGAGTTCTCAGGCCTGGCGTGAACCCCCGTCAGCGCCGTGGCGGGCTCCGCACTCGGGCCGCACTCGGGTCTCCCCAGCCCGCGCAGCAGAACACGCGGGCACACGCCCCGCCACACTCACTTGAGGGCACTGAGGTTGAACTCGTAGGCGTTGTCCCAGAAGAGCACCTTGCTGCGGTAGTCCCGGTCGGCGCTGCAGGGCACCAGGTGCAGCGCGGCCGTGGTCGGCCAGATGACCCCGCCCTCCTTCAGCCACACGTCCCGGGCGTACAGGATCGACTCGATCATGAACTCAAACTGCACAGGAGGGAGACACACAGGGGACATGGCGGCGGAGGCCGCGTCTGTGACCAGTTGTCTGGGGGGCCGACCTATACCCACAGCAGCGGCGGCGCTGACCCTTACCACGGCCTCCGCCAGAGTCCCACCAGCTCCCGTGAGACTGAGTCTACAGCCAGGCGGCCGCCAGTCAGGAGGCAGCTTCACTCCCCCGGTCCCCCGCCGCCCCACGCCAGCTGGTACCCCGTTTCTAACAGCCCCAAAGGGCTGCGGAGTTTCCACTGTCAGACTGTGTAAACTTGGCCTGGGGTATTCTCAGAATTTTCACAATCCTGTAAATTCACTGAAATCACCTCCTAAAAACATGAAACATTAAAAGCAGGTGCGCCGTGGAGGTTCACATGGTACCAAAGTCGTAAGAGCAGCCTAACAGCACCCGACACCCTCAGAGCTCCCCGGACAGGCGGGAGCGCTGGCTGGCAGCAGCGGCAGGAAGCCAGCCTTTGTGTCAGAACCAGGGACTGTGAAGAGTGTGCGGGGAGCGTGCTGGGAGCGTGCCGGGAGTGAGTGGGGAATGTGCCAGGAGTATGCTGCCAGTGTGCAGGGAGCGTGCCAGGGAGTGTGTGGGGTGCGTACAGGGAGTGTTCCGGGAGCGTGTAGGGAGTGTGCCAGAGTGTGCAGGGAGCATATCAGGAGCGTGCAGGGAGTATGCCACGAGTGCGGGGAGTGTGCCAGGGAGCTTGTGGGGAATGTGCCGTGTATGAGTGTGCGGGGAGTGTGCGGGGAGTGTGCAGGGAGTGTGCAGGGAAGGCTAGAGGCACTTCATTCTGTAGCTGAAGGGAAGCCACTAAGGGTTTGTTCTCAAATAATTTCAGGCGGTTTTCATTTCAGAAGTACTGGACGTTCAGTATGGAAAACTTCAGAAAAGTCAGAAAAGCACAAACCTAAACAAAAGTCATGAGTAAACCCAGCACCAAAGGAACCACTGCTCGTTTGGCACTTTATCCCAAGGACTTTTCTTCACGTGCACAGACATGCACGCAGGTGAAAACCATATACAGATAATTTTAAATTCTATTTTATTAAACTATCTATGGTAAATCAGTTAGTCTACCGATTTTAACCCTTGTATGGATCTGTGTAACCACAATCGGGAGGGACACAGAACAGCTGCATGACCCCAAAACCCTCCTCCCACCAGCCCCAACCTCTGGAAACCGCTCAGCGGCCCCCCCGCAGCTCTTTTGGAGAATGTCACACAAATGGAATCACACAGTACATACTTTTGAGACTGGCTTCTTTCCCTCATAATAACAACTTTTTCTACACTAATAGGTTCTGTCCTGTGCTTTCCATCCTGTTCTATGTCTTTCCTTGTTACAGTATCACACTGATTCCGTTACCCTTACCGATGCCACCCGGCTCTCTGGGGTCTGTCCCTGGCACCCGGGCACCAGCCGCTCACACTCTATCGCCTGGCAGCAGCCCTGGTGCGGATGGACCCCGGACGCTCATCCAGTCACCTGCTGGCGGACACTTGGGATGTTTCCAGGTTTTTGGCAATTTTAACTGGAGCAGTGTAAGCACGTGCAGGTTTCTGTGTGGGCACAGCCGGCGTTTCCGTGTCAGTACCCAGAACTGGAATCACCGGGTCACGCAGCACGCGCACCGGTACCTCCAGAGGACACTGCCCAATGGCCCCAGAGCGGCTGCGTCTGTGCCGGGAGCCTCAGCGGTCCACCGCACTCGGAATCACGGAAACCGCAGCCCCGGCAGGCGTGCAGTGGCGCCGCACGCGGCCGCAGTCTGTGCCCCGACGACTGCGGTGCTTCCTGTCTCCTCACACGCTCCCCTCTCAGCCATCTGTATACTCTGGCAAACTCTCTGTTCAAGTCTTTTGCATATTTCTCACTTAGGTTGTTTACTTTCTTCCTGCTGAATTTTGAGAGTTGTTTGTATATTCAGGACACATATTAAATATGTGATTTGCAAATACTTTCTCCCACTCTTACCATGTTTTTTCATTTTCTTTTACAGAGCAGACATTTTTAATTTTGATAAAGTCTGGCATATGCACTTTTCCTTTAATGGATCGTACTTAAGAATCAACCAAAAACTCTTTGCCTAACCCATGACAATTTTCTCCCAAGATTTCTTTTTAAAGTTTTATAGTTTTACAGTCTATGCTATTAGATCTAGAATCAATTTTGAATTTTTTGGAAGAACGTATGAGGCTTAAAAATGAAGTTTTTTCTCTTTTCTTTTTCACATGTGGATGGCCAACTAACTGTGCCAATATCTTCCAATGAAAAGACTATCTTTTCTCTATTAAACTGATCTTGCTCCCCTGTTAAAAGATCAGTTAACCATGTTTTTAGGGATCAGTGTCTCTACTTTGGCCATCGACCCATGTGTCTGTCCTGTCACCAATACCGCACTGTCTTTGCCACACAGCTTTACTCTAAGCTTTAAAGTCAGGAACGTAATTCTTCAAACTTTATTCTTTTAAAAATTGTATCCGCTGGGGCGCGTGGGTGGTTCAGTGGGTTGAGCATCTGCCTTCGGCTCAGGTCATGATCTCAGGGTCCTGGGATGGAGTCCAGCATTGGGCTCTCTGCTCAGCAGGGAGCCTGCTCTCCCTCTCTCCCTCCTCCTGTATCTCCCTCAGCCTGCCCCTCCCCCTGCTTGGGCTCATTCGCTCTCTCTCCAATAAATACAATTTTAACAAAACCAAAAGACAACTGATAGAACGGGAGAAGATATTTGCAAACGACATATCAGATAAAGGGCTAGTGTCTGAAATCTATAAAGAACTTATCAAAGTCAACAGCCAAAGAACAAATAATCCAATCCAGAAATGGGCAGAAGACATGAACAGGCATTTCTGCAAAGAAGACATCCAGATGGCCAACAGACCCATGAGAAAGTGCTCCACATCACTCGGCATCAGGGAAATACAAATCAAAACCACAATGAGATCCCACCTCACACCAGTCAAAATGGCTAAAATTGACAAGTCAGGAAATGACAGATGCTGGCGAGGATGCGGAGAAAGGGGAACCCTCCTACACTGTTGGTGGGAACGCAAGCTGGTGCAACCACTCTGGAAAACAGCGTGGAGGTTCCTCAAAAAACTGAAAATAGAGCTACCCTATGACCCAGCAATTGCACTGCTGGGTATTTACCCTAAAGATACAAACGTAGTGATCCTAAGGGGCACGTGCACCCGAATGTTTATAGCAGCAATGTCCACAATAGCCAAACTATGGAAAGAACCTAGATGTCCATCAACAGATGAATGGATAAACAAGATGTGGCATATATACACAATGGAATACTATGCAGCCATCAAAAGAAATGAAATCTTGCCATTTACGATGACATGAATGGAACTAGAGGGTATCATGCTGAGCGAAATAAGTCAATCGGAGAAAGACAACTATCATATGATCTCCCTGATATGAGGAAGTGGAGATGCAACATGGGGGGTTTGGGGGGTAGGAAAAGAAAAAATGAAAGAAGATGGGATCGGGAGGGAGACAAACCATAAAAGACTCTATCTCAAAAAACAGACTGAGGGTTGCTGGGGGGAGTGGGGACAGGAGAGGGTGGTGGGGATATGGACATTGGGGAGGGTATGTGCTATGATGAGTGCTGTGAAATGGTGCTATGATGAGTGCTGTAAACCTGGTGAGTCACAGACCTGTACCCCTGGGGATAAAAATACATTATATGTTTATTAAAAAATTTAAAAATTAAAATAAAAAAAACTATCAACTATTCCAGTTTCTGTACTTTCCAAATAAAGTTTACAATGAGCTTGTCTACACAGACCAAACAACCCTGCTCCGACCCTGACTGGAACTGTGTTCTGTCTACAGACCAGTGTATGAACATCATTATCAGTTTGTCTTCCAGTCCATGAACACTGTATCTCTCCATTTATTTGGGTTTTCTGTGACCTCTTTCATCAGCATCTTATAGTTCTTGGCCTATAAAACTTGTACATGTCTTGTTGCCTTTCTAAGTATTTCACATCTGGGGGCTACTGCAAAAGCTACTGTACATTGTTAGTGTATAAAAACCCTCAAACAAAAATCAGCCGCCTGAATCCAGCAGTACATTAAAAGGATCCTAACTCTCGATCAAGTGGGATTTACTTCTGGGATGCAAACATAGTTCAACATACAGCAAATCAGTAGATGTGATATACCACATCAACAAAATGAAGGATAAAAATCATATAGTCATTTCAATATATGCAGAAAAAGCATTTAATAAAAATCAACTATATTCCATGATCAAAACCCAAAAATCTACAAATTAGGAGAATATCCCACAACATAATAAAAGCCACATATGTCAAGCCTAGAGCTAACACCATACTCGACAGTGAAAAGCAGGAAGCTTTCCTGCAAGATCACATGAAAGACAGGCATGTCCTCTCTCACCACTTTCATTCAAGATAGTACTGAAAGTCCTAGCCACAGCAATCAGGCAAGAAAAGAAATTTAATAAGCATCCAAAGCAGAAGGGAAAAAGTAAAATGGTCTCTATTTGCAGATGACGTATTATATATAGAAAATCCTAAAGACTCCACCAAAAAAACCGTTAGAATAACAAATTCAATAAAGATGAAGAATATACATTAATATGCAAAAATCAGTTATGCTTCTATACACTAACAATAAACTATGAGAAGGAGAAATTAAGAAAATAATCCCATTTACAGTTCCATCAAAAATAATAAAATACCTTGGGGCGCCTGGGTGGCTCAATGGGTTAAAGCATCTGCCTTCGGCTCAAGTCATGATCCCAGGGTCCTGGGATCAGGCTCTGAGTCCTGAGCATCGGGATCTCTGCTCGGCAGGGGGCCTGCTTCCCTCTCTCTCTGCCTGCCTCTCTGCCTACTTGTGATCTCTGTCAAATGAATAAATAAAATCTTTTAAAATAGTAAGAATAATTTAAAAATACCTCAAAACAAATTTAACCAAGGAGAGTAAAAAAGACAATGAAGA